CGGGGTGAAATTGGGCGGTGACCAATCAAATGAGCGCATTTTCTGCTGTTAATGACTGTCTGTGTACCCAGTTGTGTCGCTTTTTTTTGTCCTTTTCCCACGAAAGTTCCCTGGGCAAAGTTGCAGAAAAAGTTTGCAACTTTTCTTGCAACATTTGTGCATTTGTGAGCTATAATAACCGGTCTTTTTAGTAAACCATAGTCTAATCAATCGACTTCGTAAGTCGCGAGGGAAGGGATTGATGTACCCTTCTCGCGATAAAAATACCTCAGGCATGATTCGCAGGAGGGGGTCCAACCCCCCCCCTCCTATGTGACCCCGGTTGGGTCGTCTAGCTGGTAGAAGTGGAGGATAGGGGCCAGAGGGGCAGACGACAGAGTCCAATGATGGGAGAAAAACAACAACAACAACAACATCCTGACCACAAGAGGTTCCCAGTTGAGGGTAAATTCTGTGGGTGGAGAGTGTAGACTAAAGGAGGACCCGATTCGCAGGGTATCCGCTGATTGACTCTTACCTGAATCGGTACACCTTCGCCGTGCGCTACCAGCCAAAAGTCGGATTGCTGGCCACGGAGGAGGAGGAGGATGTTGATGCTTATAGCAAGGAGAATGGATTACAGCAACGGCAGCAGCTAGCTTCAGATCAATACTCAAACAATAAAATACTTGACGGGGAAGAGAGTGCAGAGCAGAGCACGCTTTGATTTTCACGTAATTTTCTATATCGTCCAGCAGAACAGAAACCCATTATATTTTCCAAAGCGCCGAAATCGCCCGACGTCCCTCGCAGCAGGTCCCGAAGACAACCGCGAGCAGAGACGAGATCCACATAATACGCGTACATACAAGCTATGCCTGCCGACCAAGCACCAGAACAGGATCGATCGATGATATGTAGATAGACATATCATCCTCCTCTCCTCCCATCTTACCTGGTATGAGTGCGTGCAGCTACCACCCTTGACGCGTCGTCCGTCGGTGGTTTCGAGGAGAGGGAGTATACGTACGTACGTGTGGTTTTTCCCGGCCTCCCGGATTTTTGGGAACAATTTCTTTACACAACAGCAGTTTCTCGCGTGTCGGTCCGTGTCATCATGTGTTGTGGTACATGACGGTGGTTTGTGTACGTTCGCACACTTGTGCCTGCTCTCTCTCTCTCTTGGGACAGAAACGCAGCAACGAGCAGCACCAGGGCCGAGACAGGCGTGGAGCCGGCGGGTTTTAGCAGAAGTATCAGGTGAGAGGAGGGCATTGTCGGTGGCTGCAGCGGGGCATGCTTCTCTCCTTTTCCGTGTGAGGACCGGTGGGCCCCCTTCGTGGTTGATTACCACGACTTGTTGTACATTGAGTGAGTGAGTGTAGGCGGACCTGGATACAGGGCCAAGACGACCAGTGTGTGAGACGGCCGCGGGCCACGGCTGTTGGCTCTCAACTAGAGGTAGCACGGAGGTGTACTCCTAGACTACATCACAGGAGTCGACTTAATTTGATTTCGGCATGGTCGAGGCACACCGGCCTGACACAACAACAACACCCCACGTCTCGCTCGCGCGGAAGATGTAAATTCCATCCTACCGCCCTTTCTTCTCATCACGTGCATCTTCTCTTCTTCTTCTCCTTCTGCCTACCAAGCACAACAACACCATCGGCTTCACTGCTCTACACTTGCGTTGTTGTCTTGTTGTCGTCAGTTTGCAAGAAAGGTGATGGTGTTCCTCCGGATGGTGTACATGCTGCACAGCTCAACTAAACACCTGTTTAGAGTATAGGTTGTGCGTCCTGCCTGTGTATAAGATGCTTCAAAGACGTGTTTTGCTGCTTTGTGAAGGCAACCCAAACACAGACAACCAAACCCTCAACACAGCCATGACGGGTGGGTGGCTTCACCGACGTTCAACAGAGAGAGGCGGCGCCTCCATGTCTCATTTGATGGTACACAGCAGTATCGTGAGCCAAACAGACTGGCTCGAATATAGACTATGTGAACTCCCTGTGAATAGCCTGATTCATCAGTCGTACAACAAAGATCTACCATCACCAGCAGCACGAGTAAGTGCACAAGCGGTGTACCAACTTGGTGCGTGTGCAAGCAGCTTTCCCCCTCCCACATGTACCCTCCGAAGTGCTGCAAAGAAGTGTGTAATTCTTTAGCGAGGATAATCAATCTCCTCGTCCGGACTAAAAACACGGTGGAGAGAGGTGGGTTGTATTGTCCGTTGTCCGGCATGCCCAATCCTGCTGCGACGTCTGACGGTTTTCCTCAACTTAAGAGGCTCTTTACACAAGATGGATGGCAAGAGAATGCTTCACCGCAGGAGGGGTGGGAACGAGGGCCGCTGGGGGAGCAACCCATCTCTGTGTCACCACACACACACGGAGCTTCCATACCCGGCAGGACCGGAAAAATCAGAAAATGGTGGCCGTAGATACGTCGCAACCCATCCATGCCACGATCATACGAATGTTTGTAGTTTTGGATAAGTACTGTAGACTATGCATGTGGGTTGCATCCTATGAGCACGGAAAGCGTCCGCGCCAACTGAACCAGGACACACACGCGGATGGATGTGGAAGACGTTTATGAGCGAGCGGAGATCCGAACGAAAGACCTAGACTACTGCTGAAGTGCCAATTCAACGATTACACAAAAAGCAAATTCCACGACGAAAATATTCAGCATGGTGCTGCGGGGTGATATGTGAACTGTGAGTCTGTATTCTAGAGGGAGTCAACGGTCAATCAAGGTAACGAACGGATGAAGCGACGAAGCTACCGCCAGGGAGCGACGACACACAGCTACACATAACATGCATGTACTGCTCTACTGTAAGCTGAGAACGATGCCTTACGTTTTGTTCTTGATTTTGCCGTACACAAGGAAGGCTGGCTATCAACTCCCCGATGCTTCTGGCAACTCCCCCATAAATTCCGTTCGTCGGCTTTTTCAGTTGCGGCCCCACCCTTTTGTATTTTTTTGCTCGGGTGAGGGAACCGGGTGGTACAATTCCCTGCGGAATGCCGATAAACCATCTCATTTAGCTTGTTTCAAGGCACCCCCCAGTGTGATCTCTCCGACCGGTGCTTTCTCTCCGAGCACCGTACGGAAATGAATGCAGATAAAACCATCTCAATTTACATTTTCAAGGCACCTCCTAGTGCGATCTCTCTGACCAGTGCTGTCTCTCCCACCCCCTGCGGACATGCCGATAAACCATCTCATTTAGCTTGTTTCAAGGCACCCCCCCGTGTGATCCTCCGACCGGTGCTGTCTCTCCTACCCCGGTGCGGAAATGCCGATAAACCATCTCAATTAGCTTGTTTCAAGGCACCCCCCAGTGTGGTCCTCCGACCGGTGCTGTCTCTCCGAACCCGGTGCGGAAATGCAGATAAACCATCTCAATTAGCTTGTTTCAAGGCACCCCCCAGTGTGATCTCTCCGACCGGTGCTTTCTCACCGTACGGAAGTAAATGCAGATTAACCCATCTCATTTTACATTTTCAAGGCACCTCCTAGTAACAACATATTCGCCTGATTGAGAGCGTAGCATCTGATTGAGAGCGAGATTGCGCGATACGCTGTAGCCGGACTACCACTGAGAGGTGGAGCTTGCTGTGTAGCTTGAATTGAAGGGCTAGCCCGTAGCTTCAAGCCGCTACCCTGGTCATCCTGTGGGAGTCTCTCGTTGTGGAGCTACAGCGGGGAGCAGAAGCTACAGCAGAGCCCACCGCCCGACGCGATACCGCCCTGAAACAGTTTGAGCAGAAATAGCCAATCTGGGCAAATCTAGCAACTTGTCTAGCTCCTCGCTGCAGCATCCGATGACGATGACACGCATATGCTCGCGAAGCTGCTGATGAGACCTTCAATTTGCACCGCTTCTTGGAATAGCCCGTCCCCTACTTGCCAAGAAATGGCAAGAGGCGTCTGGACCCGAAATTTCAATTTTTTTGGCTCTCGCTCTCAATCAGATACTTCGCTCTCAATCAGGCGAATATGTTGTTTAGTGCGATCTCTCCGACCGGTGCTTGCTCTCCGACCCCCTGCGGAAATGCCGATAAACCCATCTCATTTAGCTTGTTTCAAGGCACCCCCCAGTGTGATCTCTCCGACCGGTGCTTGCTCTCCGAGCACCGTACGGAAATGCATATAAAACCATCTCAATTAGCTTGTTTCAAGGCACCCCCCGGTGTGATCTCTCTGACCGGTGCTTGCTCTCCGAGCACCGTACGGAAATGCCGATAAACCATCTCAATCAGCTTGTTTCAAGGCACCCCCAGTGTGATCTCTCCGACCGGTGCTGTCTCTTCGACCCCGGTGCGGAAATGCCGATAAACCATCTCAATCAGCTTGTTTCAAGGCACCCCCCGGTGTGATCTCTCCGACCGGTGCTTTCTCTCCGAGCACCGTACGGAAATGTAGATATGCATAAAACCATCTCATTTTACATTTTCAAGGCACCTCCTAGTGCGATCTCTCCGACAAGTGCTGTCTCTCCGACCCCCTGCGGAAATGCCGATAAACCATCTCATTTAGCCGACCGGGGCTTTCTCTCGGACCCACGTGCGGAAATGCAGATAACACCATCTCATTCAGCCTTTTCAAGGCACCCCGGTGCAATCTCCCCGACCGGTGCTATCTCTCCGCCTCTGAGTAGTGGTCCGGTGTAGGTACTCACGCAGACGTGTTTGGCGTCTGGTCTAGAAAAGACGCTGGTCCGTAGCAGCCTTCTGTCCAGCGAGCGGTCATGGGTTTGAACGCGAGTTTGCCTGTTGCGTGACCAAGGACAACAATCAATCGATGTGGTTTCCATCTGGGGTACCGGTACATTCGGGGTCATTCAGGTTGTCTCCAGCTTTCGTTTCGGTCTCCTCAATACTAGTACGCAACCAGTAGGACATTCGATTTACGTGCCTAAGGTGGGAGTTGGCCGCGGCCTGTACGTTGTATGCGTGGGTGGTGAGGTTGGCAACTTCCATGAAGGGTCCGGCTACGACATAAGAGACGGCGTGACAAGCCGAAATTCTTCTCTTTTGTTGGAATTTTCTCATACATATATAATAATAATATATAATAGACCATTGAAAGTGGCAATTTTCGCCGTCTTTTAGAGCAGGGATTCTTCCAAAATTGATGTCAGAGCTCCATGAGTGCATTCATTCATGAACAACGTCATGCTGCAGCAACTACATCGCGTCGTTCTCACTCGACGCTCTCACTCGACGCACCGTTGAATCTGTTCTATTTAGTGCAGCCCCCCAAAAAAAATGTCGTGCGTACTCACGTTTCGTTTGCGGGTCTCTACCTGCTGTGCCTACCAGTGCTCGCCCCAGCGAAAACAGTGCTTTCACGTGACGCATACACTCTTACAAATACATGCATGTGTGTACAAAAAATGAAAATGCCCAATCAATAGGAAAAACAAATGCATAACGCTGTGCGCTCTTTCCACCCCACTGATGGTTCCTTCAACCTCTCTTTCCTCCCTCTTTTCCATCTCAGACAAAGTCTCTCATGCACGGTTGTGCTTGGCTTCTCTCGACCCGTGATTGCTTATCCAAGCGAGCTTTACCTTACCAAGATGATAGAAAACGTCGGGCATGTCGCACTTATCCGCAACGTCCCCGAGATCACAAAAAAAACGATCTGCAACATCCACGAACGGTGACGGGCGCAGGATTGCTGCCCCCGGGGACTGCGGCGTTTTGCCTGGTCCAGCCTCGTCGACCTCGTCGTCATTAGAGTGTACATCCATCTGCACCATGCTCTCATCATAGATGTATTCCGTCATATCCACGATTATTGCTTCGGCTACGTCCTCATTCTCCTCTACACCCATCCATGTTTCCACCGCCGCCATGGAACCCTCGGTTGGACGTTTGCCGGGCGACAGCCCCCAAGCTCAGGGTTCGGGTAGAGCAATTTCTCACGGCTCGGTTTGAGAGACAAGGAATTTTTTCTGTTATATCGTAGCCGACACTGCTGTACTCATCAATTGAAACAAAAGCCCGCGTGAGAAGCGCCGATCGTACATACGCGTTCATACATGAAGGTGGCGCTCCGCTGACACCGTCACCACATGTACAGCGGCGCGCGTGTACCTGTTACGGCACCTCAAAACGACTTCAATCTTGGAGTTGAGGGTCGGTGAGGTCGCACCATCGCAGCCGGTTTGATCTACCGATCCCGGTGCGGAAGTACAATCAAAACGTGCTGTTCTTGTTTCTTTTCGCCCCCCGGTGTGGGCAGACAACAAGAGTGGTAGACAACCCTCGAAATGGGTCAAGGTTGTAGAGGCCGTATGGAAGGGGCTCGACATCGACGAAGATGAGAAGCTAGAAACGGAGGGTCTACAGGGGTTCAAGGAGAAGATATCTGTTGCTTGTGCCGAGAGAGAAGAACAGAATACAAAGAAAAAACCCGAGGATAAGGAGGGTCTAGAAGTGTGCGGAATGTTGAAAGAAGGAATAGGGTTCAAGGATTACCTACGTGGACCAATGGATGCAGGGACAAAGCTTGAGGTCGAATTCAGGACCGGGGACATAGGCCTTCGAGACCGCCAGCGAAGGCATTGGACGGTAGACGACGAAGACGACAACTTCACATGTGATTGCGGCTTCGAATGCGAAGACAGTATTCATGTAGTCGCGGAATGTCCGTTGTACAAGGAGAGGAAAAGTTTACGTGACTGAGCTGGAAAAAAATAGATGGGACGTACAGGGAGATGTTTGAGGCACGGAATAGAGAGGAAAGGACGGGGTAGCTGTACTGGGGAGTAAGAGGTAGGTTGAAAGGCGGGAAGGGATATCGTTAGGGTAGACAGACTAGGGAAGACATTTTTGAGCCACCTTTGGCAAAGTAGAAAGGAACGATTGGCCATCGGTGATCGGTCCTGTGGGAACAATGCTCCGTCCTCTGGAGGACGCGTGGTCAATGGTCTAACCGCTAAGTAAGGCATGCAAAACATAGAGTACGCACTCCCCCCCCCCGGCGCTGTATCTCCCCGCCCGGTGCCATCTCTCCGACTCTTAGGAGATTGAACAAAACCGGACTGTTGCTATGTACCGCTTCCCCTCGCTGACACGCAGCAGGCGCCTGCTCTATTCGCAAGGAGAGAGGTTATCAAAGCGAGGGCGGCTTCTTCTCTGTCCAACGGATAGCAGGCTAGCGCGAGGTACTACGGCACGGACCCTTGCGTGTCAACCGGAGTGTTCAGCAGGAATCTCTGCGGCACTTACAGGACTGTTATTGGTGGGGGGGGGCAGGAGGAGGGCGGAACGTGGCCGGGATGAGGATGTTGGCGTTGATATGGCGATTGAGGGCCACCTTGCCTCCAATACTTGCGGTAAGTCCTACGGCTTGACTGTGGTTTGACGGTCGATGCGAGAGTTGCCTCCGCTATACCTTTGTCTTGTGGAATTATTCTGCATCGGTCGCCGTCGCTTCTGTTAGACAGAGGCTGTAGCCCATTAGACTACTCAAATCACCCATTTTTTTATATGGGCTATTGGACTACTCAGTCAGTCTGTTCGATCAAGGCAACCCGTTAGACTTAGCCACTCATCTTTTTTTTTGGCAATGGCTATTCCATTGGACTTCTCCGTCAGCTGACTGAGGTATTATGGGCCAACCTTTATTTAATAACTCCCTCTAAGGAGAGGTAGGGTGCTTGCTCCCTTGTTGCCAAAAGGTTAGGAAATGCCCGTAGAGTGCGGTCAGTCGACTCGTGTGGGCCCATCTCGTAGCGTATGTGGTGCAGTGTGAGCGGAAAATACTATTCGCACAACAGGGGTGTCTTCATCAGACGTGGTGTTGGTTGGCCTTCAGAAAAACAACAGTTGCACGTTCGTTGTCATTGTCGTTGTCGTTTTCTTTCTCCAATGCTTGTACCGATCAAAGGAAGGTCGCCGATTCGATTCTCGTTTTCTTTCTTCTCAGGTAAGCAGTTCCGCCTTCGCGGTTGGGGTGGACGAGAGAGGTGAAGAGGGAGGCGGAGGCGCCATCGGCATCAGAGAGGGGTTTGTGGTGCAGGTGTGTGCCGCAGTACTCTAGTCCCAGCGTCCCTATTATCGAAGAGTTCACCAAACTTTGTTGTCAAACAATGCATAGGCATGCATGCCTCGTCACCAAAAGCCGAGACCCCTGCGTAGGGCGAGTGCCGTAGGTGACATGCCCTGGAGCAATTTATTATCCACGGCGGAAAGAGTTGGGGCGTCCACCAAAACGGCGTCTTTGGAACCGTCTCGTCGAGCTCCTTCCGCAATCGTATCGTTTGATTTGTACATCTTTCTGGTCGTGGAGTAGTCGAGCTTTGAACATCGGTCCAGGGCGTGTGATGTATTACGTGGCCACCTACGGTATGTGCTGTAGGTCGATGCACCCGCCCTACAACGGGCGCCCGCCGTAATCGCCCGCCTTATTCAAGCGTAAATAAGGTGGTTGTTCTAGGTATATATGTATCTGCGCCGAGAGATTTCGCCCGCGCTTTTCGGGCTGCACCAACTGATGAGCGTTGAGCAGTTAGGTGCTTTTTGGAGACAACGCATAGTTACGCCCGCCGTCCATGCAAGAACGCCCCAAAAGCAGTCTATGTTTCGCAAGAAGACGCGGGGGTGCCAGCATACCGTAGGCGACGTAAGGGCGCTCGATTACTCCACGACGAAGAGGATGTGTGAATCAAGCGATGCGTCTTCGGAGAGCTCTCGACGAGATGGTTCCAACGCCGCCACTTTCGGCGCGGCCTCTCTCTCTCTCTCTCTCTCTCTCTCTCCCCTGCTGCGGAGCAGTCGGTCCGCGGGGTGTGATGTCTTGTATTAACTACGGTAGTAGTATCAAGGTTTCTCGTGCAATAGTACACAGCAGCAGCTTGAGCCGTCCATCATCATCGTGGGAAAGGCTAGGCTGTGTGCGCTACATTCTCACGGTGGAAAAGGTCCAAGAAAATGTTTACGCCTCATTCCGTGCGGTTTGTTATCGTCTTTTTTTCCCTCTTGGCCCGTTGACGGGTCGTGCGCAACCAACCACCCAACCAACCACCCAGGAAGTAGGATGCCCGCAAGCCATCTCGCACGACGAGGCGCTTGCGAGGACGTCGGACCCCTCCTGGCCAGGCGGTGTTTTGAACGTGACGTCACTGGAGACAGTCGGTGAGCTGGCTTGAGCCCTGGTTGCGTCTACCCCCACCACACGGCTCAAACGAGTAACCGCGGTGTTGTTGGTAAGGTTTCCTACTTCGAAGTACTATTTACCCGCAATGGGTTGGTTTGTCGTTCGGAAGGTGGAGCCAGAGCGAAGACGGTTGTCACGCTCTGCTGTTTTTTTACGGGGTGGGCCTACAACTACGAAATGTCCGTCTCCGTCAAGAAATAGGGGCGACTCGCTTCACGTACACGGAAACATCAAAGAAAAAAAAGGTGGTCCGGAATACGGCCTAGGGGTGGACCTTACACTATCTCTGTGTACATGATATCCTTTTTCAACGGTGGCCACGGAGGAAGCAATGAAACGCCGACCTCGACTCAACCTCGACCCGAGGTCGACGTTCCTCAGTCGGTGGCCCGTTGTGCCCCTGCCTCTGAGCATATCTGAGCTAAAAGACAGAAGGACGATTGCTCACCCAGGTCGATCGAAAGAGTTCGCCTCTATGGTGTACAGTAGTAGGTGATGGACGCCTAGTTTAGACTGTTGACCTTGACGTTGCAGCTCAAACGAAAGCAGGTGATAAATTCCAATCCGAAGCTAAACCCACGGGAGTGGGATGTTGACGTTTTCAAAGGCCTTCTCGACCTTCTCCCGTGCCTGCGCGTGTGTGCGAAACAGACAGATTCGTGTTCGTCCGTAAAGTCGCGTTAGAACCTGCGTCCTTAGCCCCTCCTTGTTGGTCGTTCTTGCGAAGACAACGAAGCCGAGGAACGCCTCCTGCTGCTACGTCGCTCTGCATTCATTCCAGGTCGATCGGGGAATCATTACATGGCGATATCGACGATGTTCTCCTTGGCATTTTGCTGTGGAGTGAAGGTGGTGAGTGGAGATGATGATCCGTGGTGCGGTCAAGAAACGGCATTTTACCGCAACGGCCGCGAATGTACAATATGCCACCACCGTGCCCACTATGCTCGCGCTAGATACCCTGAGGGTGAACGGTTCGACCCAATCGTCTTGTAGACCGGCACGATGCTAGAACGCACGTGGGGATGACGGGGCTCACGACGGGATTGAATCCAAGGGTTCTTCAGGACGATTGGACGCACTGTTGCCGGGTCCCGACTCGGATACTCCTGCCACGCATGCGTGGATGGACCCTCTTGTGAATGCGGGTCGATCGGACGAATAGAGAGCCGTGAGCCTACGTGGGAGCATTTTTGCCGGGGGGTTCGTCCGTGTGTTTCGACCAAGTTCCCTCCCGTTATGTCCAACGAAGACTCGTCGGAAATACACACCTTTGCTCTCAAATCCCGTTTCTCTTTGCTTGTTATCTTGTTCGGTCGTGCCCAGCTCGAGCTGCCTGATACCGACTATCGCTTCCCTACGGAGGAAGGTGGAGAGTTTAAGTCGTCGAAGCACCTCTTTTCGTTCTCCTCCCACGGCACTGATGGCGTTGAGGCGGAGCGACAGACATGGTCCCAGTTGACGGGTCTAGAAGACCTCCAGGGCCGAGTGGGAGTCTGTCCCAAGAAGAGGATCGTCGACGGGACACATGCCAACCATATCACGGGTAAAGCTCGTTTTTTTTTTTGCCGGCAGGGTTTGATTGTGAACCACTGCAGTGCTTGTCGGGGGCTCTACACAAACGGGAACTTTTGACGATCCGACACCCCCGACAAGTGTTTGTCCGGGATCGGGCGTGCGAATTTCTGGCATTCATCGGCATACACCCCGGGAATGAAACCGCGAACTCTACCCCGAAATGCGCCGACATCCTAGGGTCCACAGTGCATCCCCGTCGTCTTTTTTTCATACTCGTACCTGTCTGCGTCGATCCATTTGCTTGGGTACGTCTTGTAACCTCGTGCGTATGCATGCGCCGATTCCGCTGTTTGGGTGTCCAGGGCTTGGCAAAGACCTTCAGAGATGTATTCGCCACGTGCACATGCGTGGGTGCGAGGCCGCCTACCTCCAGCAGGTGATCGGTGACGAAAGCTCTTGCCCGGATTCGCCACCACCCGTGGGGACGGATGGGGAGCCTACTGGGTTGGTGGTTCCGGGGACAACAGGGCTGCTGCCCTCGGAAACGAAGGGCGACGGGCATCTGGTGGTGCACATTCGATCGCAGGACATCTTCAAGCCTGACACGAGATATCATCAGTACGGACAGGTGTGACGCGCAAGCAAGTGTGTTATTTTTGCGCGCTTGTATCCGGTAGACTCGGATATTTGCGGCGAGACTTGGGGCCCACCGGGGTCTGTTGGCTTAAAATCTAGACACGGAGTTTTAGGTGGACGAAGCTGGTATGTAGATCTCGCAAGGGAGAATGTTACGAAGACGGGAGTATCGGGGTACAAATGTGTTCCCTTTGTGGTTCTCTTGTTGCCAGCTAACGAGTCGAGGCTACAAAACGAACCACTTTTTTTGCTGTCGCGACAAGCTTGGCAGTCCCCCAATACTGTCACAACCGAAGTGTAGTGTCATTGGATGTCCTTCAACGTGTTCGACAGGCAGGGTCGTGGGCTGCGCAAAAGTTCCAACGAGAGGGCTCCAACCCCCGCCCCCATGGCGACGCTACTATGACAACGCCTGTGGCAGCAACAATGGATTGGTGTAGAATCGCCGCGTGTTTACATATCCCGCATCCCTCATGTCCCGGTTTCTTCCCGCCCCTCCTCGCCTTGTGGTTTCTCCTCCCCCATCAACCCCCCTGGCGCACCATTCGTTACGGCTCTCGCCCCTCTTGAAGCCGCCCTTGGGATATTTTCTGGCCGTCATCGCGAGCAAGAAGTGGGACTACTTGTCGGTCCTCACGTCCGGACCAGACAAGCAGCTCAATCCGACGTACAGCGTGATCGCAGAGCTCAACCGCCAGGGATTCCTTGGGACCAACGTGGAGATGCATAAGGTAGGTGAGTGTGGGGCGAAGCGATGCTACTACTTAAGGACATCCATCCGGCGTGTCCATTTGGTTCCCGCAATAGCAGTTTCGCGGTTATTTTAAGAGCAGTGGTTCTAGCCGGAACCAAGGAAATAAAATGCGGAATGTGGGTGAAATACCTCGCGCGGTTTCGTACCACCCGTGAATATTAGTTGGCGACCGATATGTTTCTGCTTACTTCGGTCGTATTTCGTGTGGTTTTGGGGGAGGACGTAGGTGTGCACCTTGTGTACTTTGTCACCCTCATGCACACGGCAAAATTCCTACGTGTATCGCGCCCAGCCGGCGTTAGCGACGATAGTGTCGGTCCGGTGTTTGTCAGCCCCTTGAAATCACACAACCAAGCCACGATGCGACCACGTTCGCCCTACGGTTTTGCTGTTGAGGTGACACAGGCACGTTGTTGCCCCGTTGGACGAAGAGTCTACCGCAGAGCTATCCCGAAAGCGCACATCACTGCTGCTTTTTTTGTTGTCCACTACCTGTTGTCAACGGGTAACAGAACTAACTACTTGTATTGTATGCGTACCACATTCTGAGCTTGCTGCCGGCGCGTCCACAAGTCAGATTCGACACACAGGTTTTCCACCGTGCGTGTTGTTTGGCGCAGTCAAGTCCCTAACTTAAGCCGCCGCGATTTTATTTTCTCACGCACCATTAGCACTCATTCCCAACGTTCCGCGAAAACGTTCCTCGAAAACGATCCGCGAAAAAAGGACCGGTCGTTCTGGGAAGACCTGCAGGCCATGCTCTGCGCGGACAGCCTCGCCCTGTCGCACTCGACCCTATCGAACCTCCTGCTGGCGCACTCGAGGGCCAAGCGCTTCTTCCTGCCGTGGGGTTGCGAGCCGCAACCGTGGACCTTGAAGCTCAACCGCTTCGTCAACGCCTCAATGATCTGCCTCCAACGGCCGGAGGTTCAGGCGAGTTTTTTTTTATTTATTCTGGTAATAAAATTGTCTTGCCGGCGGGTCGTCCACAGAAGAAGATAGTTGTCCACGGACGGTGCGGTCTACTTGATGACGTGCATGAACGGAGCATGGCCCCTTTCTTTTGCGGTTGGTTTTCGTATTAGGATGGTGAGGTCAATTTACATCGTGACAACATGGCCCTTCGTTTTCGCTACGCTGATAGCAAGGCCGTTCCGGTTCGCGTTGGCGCTCTCGCACAGCTACATAAGGCAACCGAATCATTACAAGAGTAAACTCGATGCTCGCGACATACATGAAGGGAAATGAGCGCTTTCGGGTTTTTTACTCATTAATCCATCGTTTGTCTACCAAACGTTACTCTCAACATTAGAAGAGGGAAATGAGCGTTTTCGGGTTTTTTACCCATCATGTATCCATCGTTTTGTCTAGCAAACGTTACTCTTATTATTACCCATTAGTTCATCGTTGTTTAGCAAAGTTCGTCTTCGGGATTGGTCACCAGTTGCACGGCTGACTCGCTAAGCACTCGTCTTCTTTCCCTGGATAGATTGTCGTCGGCCTCTGGCTAACTGTAGTGAGCCAAGTGAGTATTTTGCCAGTATCCAAATATCAACGAACAGAGTGTACGACGGTTGGGTTATTCCCATCACGTTGACGCACTCCTGTAGTACTGTAGTGCATTTCAGATGGGTGGTTCACCAGCTACAATGACGCCCCTCCCAACAAAATCCAGTGCAATCAGCTTTGCACTTGGGGGCTACGCAGGCTGCGACAGGGTCCCCTCTCGGCATCGCTTGGGAATCCAAGATTCTGGTCCGGCAAGAACCCGGTGTGCTCGGGTAGGGGTACGAGATTAACGGTCCAACGGCTATACGCCATGCACGACTATGAGTATACTACCACCATGCCTGTCGACAAGCTCAAACGTTCCCCACGCACGCCCCTGCCTTGTGCGTTGTTGAAACTGGTGATCCCCCCCCCCCCCCNGGACAGGTGTACGGTATCGATTGGCGAACAACCAGCGATGCTTACACCGTGTACGACTCCTGGGATCCAAACTCCAACATGATGGAGATGGTCGTTTCCGACGCGGTCAAGGGCGTGCAGCGCTGCTGCAATTGACTGAGGGTAGATAGTGTTTTGGTTCGTTCCTGACTTCTTACTGTACCACCATTTTTCGACAGGGGCAGAATCAGTATCTTGCATGTCAGGGGTGCACGCATGCAGGTCTCCGTGTGTGCCAGAACACCGCGCCCCAAAGAACTGTGTTATCTTGGTCGGCTGTTGGCAAGGCACCCTGATCACAGTGCGGTGAAGGTTTAGGTTGAGCGGTGGCATCACCACAATTGCGGGCCCTGCCCGCTTTTAGGGGATAGTTGCACTAGAAAATGTGCGGTAGCCTCTTCTGCCCCGCACACGCGCGCGCGGGGGCCTCCCAAATACCGCACACACATGACCCCATGCGCACACTTGAACATTGACGAAAGTTGCACTCGACGCGCCTTGCAGTTGGCGCGCGAGCGGGTGAGTGTCGTTTTTAGTTGTATTTTTTCCCCGGCAAGGGTGGGCGTGGTCACGTCGTCGGTGTTTCGATTTTTTCTTCAGTTGTAGCATTAGCTTGCCTAAGCCCCCTGGGGACGTGGCAGAGAGAACTGGCCCTGTGGCGGCAAAGGTAGACGGTGTATACTCGTAGCGTTCGTAAGGGTGCGACCCTTGGCGTTTGTGGTGGTGGTGGTGGTGTTTATTTTCCCGTGGTGATATTGACGAGTTTCCTGTGCAAATAACACCTGTATATTGCCTGTGTAGTCTCCGAATTGGGAGCCATTGTACCATGTTGTGAGTTACTCTGATCTTTTCTGTCGCGGTCAAGTCTGGACTCCGGTCATGATTTTTTTTCTCATGTGTTGCGTGAGTGGTGAGGCAAGACTCTATTTGAGGTTCTGCGTTTTCTACCTGACTGTGCATGGACCACACAACGCACGTACCTCGATTAGTCTAGGTCGTGAACGTTGTTTGGGCTTTTCAATAGGTTCACGTATTCAAGAACGATACGGCGCAAGGCCGGCCGATGCCGCACATGAGCGGCCGACTACGACCCATGAGAGTTCATGACTTACTCATCATCCGTTGAGCGGACGAAGGCCTACTCTTATCGCCCGTGGGCCCCGGTATGGGCTGCTGATGGGCCGGGTTTCGGGCCTGTTGGCCGTCAAAGAGAGAGAGAGAGAGATGACACCCCATCAATTCCACTAACACGGCCACGGGCACCGATCTGAAATCGCTTGCCTCGTTTAACGCCTCGAAATGGCCGGACCCTGCTCACACCAGCCTCCTTTGTGGCCGCGGATACTATTATGTGATTGCTACATGCCCACGTCTTTACGCCTACGTTCTGCGAACTCCAGTAAACACCAGTTCCCACTCGTGTTCCCCGTTGGTAGCCGTATGAAGTGTTCGCACTGCAGTTGGTTCCTCACAACGTTGCTCGACCGGCAGTAGGCCGGCAAAGGTGCCCCAACCATACTTGCCTTGGGCCCTTCACACGACATTTTGGTGAACCAAACGAGAGATGTCGGGTTTTTTCCTTTGTGGATTTTGTTGCAAAAGCACAACCAAAAGCGATACTAGAAACGAAAAATGAACACCAAAACGGGAAAAAAAAAACGGACAAGTAGTGTAGCGCTTTCCACTGCTGAAAAAACTTGGGAGAGGCTACCCCCATAACATGTTACAACCCTTATTCGCCCCCCCCAATACGAAAACCAAAAAAATGCTAACATGTAGTCTCATATTAGGAAACGATGGAACTTGCCATGAAAGGCGCAAAAAGCTCGCACGTAGCCTCTCTTACGCCAAGCACACTTCATCAGGAGCCATGAACCGATTGATCAAAGGGCTACACAACTTACACATTGAGAGTTGTACACAAAAAATTTCGAGCTGTTCAGCCATCACGCTACCACCTGCCTGCTTCTCGCCTGGGCCCGCCGGCTTCACATATGCGATGGCACCCCGGAAAAAAAACAAGAGCTACCCCAAAAACGGCCCGAAAGAGGCGTGCCAGTAGCTAATGTGGGGCGTTCATCGACACCCACCTGATCTTGCGGAAGGCGTAAAATTGGTCGTCGCGTGGGGTGCCGTGCCTACCAAAAATTCTCCACTTAAGATCAACTGAAAACCACCGGAAAGATTGTACGCACATTGCTCTAACACCAACAACAAACGTAATATTGGTAATATTCGAAAGTGCTTACAGCAACACGCCCCATCCGCGCCGAAAGGATGGGCCTACACACACAAAAAGAAGGCAACACGAAAAGATTTACCGCACCCGAAAAACAAAAAAAAACACAGCGACATCATCACACCACGCCATGACCACATCCAAGAATAAAAAAGACAACCGCGAATCCAATCAGCGATGGGAGCCACAAACAGCCATCGACGTCGGCACAGCGTCTTGTCGGTGAGCGTGGATCGGTACTGGGGTGAGAGCCAAGGCTGGACCAAGAACTTGAGGGAGATTCGTTCCAACATCGGGGTTGTAACGAGTGAGTGCTCCTCTATATTCGCACCAAAAAAAGTATTGTACACATGTGGGAAAGTGCCACCGCAAGGGGGTTGGCTCTGCAGTCTCACCGTTTCCTTTCGACTTTCCGTCAGGCGAGGAGAAACGAAAGTGGCGCTATTCAAAGGGCAATGATATAAAGTGCAGGATTTTTCTCTAATCGGCCCCCCAGTGCAAGAATATGCATGATTGCTCTTGCCACTCCTCCTCTCCATGCCGTTCCACTAAAAAAAACTAGTCCCCACCGCCTCGCAGAAGGCTATTGGGACGGCCCATTCGTCGATGTCTGCTCTGGCAGGCAGGGGGGTATACCCAACCTTATTTTCAGCCCGCCCGCCCCCCCGCGCCCCGTCAAATACAATTTTGTACACCCCGAACAAAGCCCCCCTCCCGAAAAAGCAATAAACACAACCATCAACTCAACCCTTACGATCGATGTTCACAACAGATACTCGGCGACGATGTACGGCAGAGGACGCCCCTCGGTGAATCCGCGGGGGGGCGTCGGCCTCACGCGACTTCAGAACCGGCTTCCCCGACAACTGCCGCCCCCTGACTGCAGCGCACTCGGGCTACCCCCCCCCTCCTCGCCGTACCCTGCAAAGTCCTCTCAAGGACGCGTGGTCAACAGCAACACGGAAAACATGACGCCCCCCCCGAATCGCAAGTACCCCCCCCCCGCCCCCCCAGCGTGTTCCGTGCCGGCTTTGTAAGGATGCGAGGTCAACGGCCTAACGACTAAGGCATGCACGGCAACGAGGACCCCCGCCCTCCCCCCAGCCCAACTCCTTCGAAGTACGATCTTCCGTCCCCGCTGGAGCCGCCTCCCGTCGTCCTCCTCCGAGGATTAAGAGCCCCGGCTTTTCCCGCGAGGTGCGCCACGATCTTGTCGCAGGTGGGGCGATCCCTCGGCTCGTGCGTCCAGCAGGCCCTCGCCAGGACCGCCAGGTCCACCGGCGCCGAGGGCGGCAGCGGCGGCCTCTCGCCAGTTATGCACACCCTCCGGAAAAGTTCCGTCCACGAAACGTGTTCCCAGGGAGCCTGTACGACGGACGTCAGCACGGCAGCAGCGTTGGACGGGGAAGCATCGTTTTTTGCTTGTTCAAAGCGTATTTAGCGAGGGGAATGAATGGTCTTTGGTACCCTGCTGAAAGCTGTGTATATCTGTGGGGCCTAGCACCCTGCTTCCGAGATTCTTCGCGTCCTCTGACCCTCCTCGTACACAGTTAGCTACGTGTAATGGGTCCAGCAACAAAAAATGCGTCCGCTCATTGGGAGAGGCTGTACAGTCTCGAGGTACGAAGGCTGACTTGGGTTCAGTATGGAAAGTGTCCCCAAATGCGCATTGGGGACACTTTCCATACTGGAGCCAAGTCGGCAAATTTTCCAGTCCCAGGCTATGTACAGTTTTACCCGCCTAGGGGACACGCGACTTGGGAGATATGTGTGCAGCAGTCAGAGGCCGAGGAGAGGCATCACACAGCAGTGTATCGTACCACCTCACGCAAGCATACTGGTATGCTACTGCTGTAGACCAAGTTTCCCACGGGCTCTTCACGCAGCGGAGCATAGTAGTGACGACCACGGTGCGGTAAACAGGCACTTGCATGCTGTGTGCCCTAAGTGTCCCAATTTAGGCTTCCAGTCCTAGAAGGGTCAAGCGAGGAGTTCACTTAAGATGAGCGTATGTACCTCCGTCCGAGGGGCGTGGGATGGGGTAGGGTGCACATTTGTACGACTGGGTTGTGCGAACGTTGGGTTGCGTGGTTGGCCTTGGAAAATATCGACCCTTGGTGCCGTTAAGTCACAGAGCTCTTCATTTCTCATGGCGTTGATCAGCGTCTTCGCGCGAAACCTCTACACAAGGGGGCAGTGTAGCGTTATTTCTCATCAGACGTAGTAGGGGGGTCGTGGAAAAAAGGCCCAACTTTTTCAGCTCGCTGGAGGAATAACAAGTCTTGAACGTGGTTCATTGCTTCCCCCGCAACAAAGCCCATTGACTCGCCTCTCTTTGGAATACTCTCCACGTTCACTTCATTGTTGCCATCCATATAGCATTTGCCCAGGTACATACATCCTCGTCCGACATGGGTTCGAGGAGATGTCACATTGTCGAGACAACAAAGTGGCGTGCCATTAACGTTCTCGATAGATTTCGTCGGCACCACGCTCCGCTACCCGCAACCTCGCGTGACACTGGCAGCGCGCACCTGTCTGGAAAGCACTTCCCACACCACTATCCCAAAGCTGTAGACATCGCTCATGAAGCTCAGGGCGGGCCCAGTGGCCTCTTGGGCGAGTGGACTCGAACGTCGGTCTGTCTGGTGATGCTCATGACCGGGTTGGCCAATGTCCCCGTCGCGGCTGGCCCTCCTTAGCTGCTCCGAAGTGCTTCCGTGCGCCAAAACCTGGCCGACCCGAGAGCACAGCAGCAGCAGCAGCCAGGGGATGACACATCGCCGGGGAAGTCTTGGTATCGAGCCATCTCCATCACTGCTGTCGACAGCAGCAGTTGGTTGTCGAGAGAAGGTACAGCCTCTACATACACTGTCGCCATAATAAATAGGACGAAAACACACACACACACACACACACACCAGTTAATGGCACATAGAAGTGTTTTGTGCTTTCAACCTAACAAAGACTGACGTCCGTTCATTGGTCAGCCGGTTAGCGCGGTCGATGCTAATAATAATAACAAAAACACACACACACACAGCCTTGACCCGCAGGGCAAAGGGGACAAAACAAAGCACAAAACACCGCCAAACAAACAAGCGAAACACTCGCACATGCCCGTGAGGGATGGCCCCCGCAGCTTAGCGACATGAAGACGAGAACGATAACAGGAAAAGGGTGCGGGTAGTTATTCGAGAAAGAGGTCGGGGGGGGGGGGGGGGGGGGGGG